AACTTCGTTAAGAAGGTTGGTTACAACCCTAAGACTGTTCCATTCGTTCCAATTTCTGGTTGGAATGGTGATAACATGATCGAAGCCTCCACTAACTGTCCATGGTACAAAGGTTGGGAAAAAGAAACCAAAGCTGGTAAATCTACNGGTAAAACTTTATTAGAAGCTATTGATGCTATTGAACCACCAACCAGACCAACTGATAAACCATTAAGATTACCATTACAAGATGTTTACAAGATTGGTGGTATTGGTACTGTGCCAGTCGGTAGAGTTGAAACCGGTGTTATCAAACCAGGTATGGTTGTCACTTTTGCCCCAGCCGGTGTTACCACTGAAGTTAAATCCGTCGAAATGCACCACGAACAATTAGCTGAAGGTAACCCAGGTGACAATGTTGGTTTCAACGTTAAAAACGTTTCCGTTAAAGAAATTAGAAGAGGTAACGTTTGTGGTGACTCTAAAAACGATCCACCAAAAGGTTGTGACTCTTTCGATGCTCAAGTTATTGTCTTGAACCATCCAGGTCAAATCTCTGCTGGTTACTCTCCAGTTTTAGATTGTCACACTGCTCACATTGCTTGTAAATTCGACACTTTAATTGAAAAAATTGACAGAAGAACCGGTAAAAAATTAGAAGAAAACCCTAAATTCGTCAAATCCGGTGATGCTGCCATTGTTAAAATGGTTCCATCTAAACCAATGTCTGTTGAAGCTTTCACTGACTACCCACCATTAGGTAGATTCGCTGTCAGAGATATGAGACAAACCGTTGCTGTCGGTGTTATCAAAGCTGTTGAAAAATCTGACAAAGCCGGTAAAGTTACTAAAGCTGCCCAAAAAGCTGCTAAAAAATAAGCTAATTAATTAGTTTGTTTAGTATACTTTTAATATATATTTTTATTAATAATTGTTATGCTTGTAGTTAAATATTGTAGTTAAACGTGTGTACGGACGTTATTTTTTTTTAAGATGAAACGGTTTCTGCAGGAATCGGCTACCCAGCCTTTCGAGTAGATGAAATTTATTCGGTGAAGACCATTCACTTTTCCATCATCAACCAACCATGATAGCTGATAGAGGCGCTCCCTTGTTTGATTCGGGGAATACTAGAGATTATAACCATGCCACAGACTCTAATTATAAGAAACTTCGAGCTGAAGCAGACGCATTATACGATAAACGTCATAAATTGAGTCAACAACTGCAACTGGCTTATAAACTGGGAGATGGAGCTAAAGCTCATGAACTAAGTGAAAAACTGAAGAAAATATTGGAACAAGCAGAAGCTAAAAACAGGCAAGCCGCTGAATACGTTTTCCGAGAAAATAATTCTGATAGTGCTGAAGATGAGATTGATTTACATGGATTATACGTTAATGAAGCGATTTTTTTTTTACAAAATCGTATTGCTAATTCGATAAGAACAAACCAGTCTCATTTAAGAGTTATTGTTGGTAAGGGATTACATTCGAAGAATGGGGTTGCTAAAATCAAACCAGCAGTCGATGATATGTGTGATGAATGTAATTTAAGACATCGAATTGATCCAAATAATTCTGGAGTTTTAGAAATTGATTTATCTAATACTCATGAAAACCAAATTCCATCAAGCTGGAATTCTCATGGTGCTGGTGCCACTATTAATCAACCTCAACAAGCTTATCATGGTAATGCTGGTCCTCAATACCATCAACAACCTCAAAATAATCAATACCATCAACAACAACAACCTTTCAAGACTGGTAATACTATTGTTGATTTGTTGATTAAAGGATTATGTATGTGTCTCAATAGTAAATAGACTGTATAACTACAAGGTAAGAAATGTATAATATAATATTATTATCTAAACAAATGAATAATCAACAAGCACAACCAGAATTTTCATTTTCTAAATGAATATTAATTGCATCATTATAATCATCATTGATATCATTACCATTTGCATCATTCAATTCTTCTTGTTGTAAAGCCATTTTAGCAATAACTTCAAAAGCAGTTTCAACATTAATTGAATCTTTGGCACTAGTTTCAAAAACTGGATAATTTATTCCTCCTAATTGATTATTAGTTATATTAATTAATTTTTTCTGTAATGAAGGTATTTTCTTCAGATCATCAACATCAATCTTATTACCTATTATAATGAATGGGAAATCCTGAGGGTTACCAACATTTGATTGTACTAAAAATTCATCTTTCCAACTAGATAAATTATTTAATGATTTTTCATTAGTAACATCATAACATAATACACAACAATCTGCTCCCCTGTAAAATGCAACTCCTAAACTTTGAAATCTTTCTTGTCCTGCCGTATCCCAAATTTGTAATGTAACCGATTTATTATTATCAATTTTAATCTCTTTAGTTAAAAAATCAGCCCCAATAGTTGCTTTATACTGTTGGCTAAACTTATTATTAACAAACTGTTGCATCAACGAAGTCTTTCCAACTCCCGAATCCCCCAATATGATCACTTTCAACAACGTCTTCTTTCTGCCCGACATCTTTATCCTTGATTAAAAGAAGGCTCTAGCCATTCCTTTCCTTAATTGACCTTTTTTCTGACTCAAGTCAAAACACCCACACCCGTACACCCACACTAATTTTAATCCAACAATTATAACCAGCCCAACTACAATCACCGGTCCCCATTACAATTGCAAATTGGGTCATACTACACTTTGCAAACCTCGCTATCAAACATTGTTTGACGTCTTTGATACTTTGGCAAGCAGATTGACTTGGGAAAACCGGTGGAAGCAAGTCGGGTCACGTGCACAGGCTTAAATATTTGCTATTACTAAAAGAATAAAGCAACCATTAATCCACAGTTACTACCCAACGGACATAGTACTAAATAAGTAATAATGTTAACGGTTAATGGGCATTTGAGAATGACAACAATTCAATTTTTTTTTTAAATGACTTGATCGAAGGATATAAATAGGAAGTGAAATTTCCGAATTTGCCATTTCGGAAACATTCGTCTGCCCCTAATTCTTCACGTTCGAGATCATGTCTAACTTAACTACTTCAATTCAATTGACTCAGAATTCCAAGTACAAATTGAGTAATGGGTACCAAATTCCAGTTGCTGGGTTTGGGGTTTATACCGTTCCAGAAGGCGAGACTTTTGAATTAGTCTATGAAGCCTTGGTGCAAGGGTATCGTCATATTGATACTGCCTATTTTTATAAAAATGAAGAAGAGACTGCTCGTGCCATTCATCAGTTTTTAAAAGACAATGCTCATGTTAAACGTGAGGATATTTGGTATACCACCAAATTGATGAATACGACTAATGGTTACGAAAACACTGTTAAGATAGTGGAAGAAACTGCCGCAAAAGTGAAGAAGTATATTGATTACGTCGACTTGTATTTAATTCACAGTCCCAAATCGGACCGAGAAACCAGATTGGGGACATGGAAAGCATTGCAAGAATACGTTGGCAATCCTTCCAATAAAACATTGAATATACACTCGATTGGGGTTTCTAACTATGGTATCAAGCACTTGGAAGAATTGCTTAATTGGGATGGATTGTTGGTTAAGCCAGTGATTAACCAGTTAGAATTACATCCTTGGTCTCCTCAATTGAAATTACGTGAATACTTGGTTAAACATCATATCTTGGTAGAAGCCTATTCCCCATTGACCCAAGGAGTCAAATTAAATGACCCGGAATTATTACAATTGGAACACACTTATAGAATCCCCAAAGCAGAAATATTATTAAAATGGTCCTATCTACAAGGGTTCATCGTTTTAGCTAAAACCGCTAAAAAGGAACGTATTGCTCAAAACTTGAATGTCTTACCAAAAGAACCTAATACCCAGGATGCTCTAGACGTAAGTTCTCACTTGGGTAAAGTCGACTTGGATATCAACATTCTTGATGCTTTAAATAAACCAGACTCCCACGAAATCTGTACTTGGGGCGGTGAAGACTCTACTTTATACGAAGACCCAAAATAAAATAAATAACTCCTTTTTGTATTTTTGCAGCCTATTTGTAAATCACTTTTATATCTTTTTCTCTCTGGCACCCAATAATGAATATCTTGTATCCATTACTACCAATAATGGTCCATGGTTTGTTTATTCCCAATCGTTTGGCGTATAAGGGGAACGATCGGGTAAACATTTTTTTGGTGGATAAGGCTGTAAATCCGTATTTGACTCCAACTAAAAACCTCCAACAGCCATTCATCCATAAAGATTAATCAGGTATATCTTAGTTATTTTGCTAAAGCATTACATTGGGATTAGTCAAAAAATTAGGTCCAATAACTAATCTATTAGTCAAAGGTGCCTCAGTAGCAATTCAGGCGCATTCCCGCTTCACATGAACCCTTTATAAATATATATCTATCAATCTACGATTATATTTCAACTTATTATTCAATTATTCGACTAGGTATTCAGCTATCAACTAAGTATTCAATTGAGTATTTAAATAAGTATCTCAATTATCAATTATCAATCGATTATATTCATTATGGCTCCTAAAACCGCAATTATCATTTACTCCCTCTACCAACATATTGCAAAACTTGCAGAATCAGCCCATTCTGGTATCAAGGCAGCCGGAGGCTCCTCCACCATTTACCAAGTCCCAGAAACCTTGCCTTCAGATATCTTGAAACGCTTGAATGCTCCTGAAAAACCCGATTACCCAATTGCAAACCTTGACACTTTGAAGGACTACGATGCTTTCCTCTTCGGAATCCCTACGCGTTACGGGAACTTCCCAAGCCAATGGAGAAGCTTCTGGGACGGTACTGGATCGCTTTTCGCTACCGGTGCTTTACACCATAAACCTGCTGGTCTCTTTGTTTCTTCCGGTACTTTGGGTGGTGGTCAAGAAACAACCGCAATTAATGCCTTATCCACTTTGGCCCACTTGGGTCTCATCTACGTTCCCTTGGGCTATCTGCACGGTAAGTTTAACGACTTGAATGAAGTTAGAGGTGGTTCTGCTTGGGGTGCCGGTACTTTTGCTGCTGGTGATGGTTCTAGACAACCCTCAGAGCTTGAATTGGAAGTTGCAAAAATTCAAGGCCAACAGTTCTACGAAGCTATCAAGAAGTTCTAACCTTATATAGAATTTATAAGATATATATAAGCTGATTAAGATATTTAGAAGATGTATGTAAGATATATGCCTGTATTATAGGAAAACCACCCATACACCAAAGACAAAAGGGGGCTTTCCCACGACCTTTTTCCGGGACTAAAAGATAAAAAAACACCAACGAAAGAATTTTCAACTAGATTGGAGTATCATTTTTATCAAACATGTCTAAGAATAATAAGCCAATAAGGCAAGAGTTCATTGCCAAAGTGCGTTATATGAATAACTTACCACCACCACCTTTGAATCCCACTTTTTTACAATATAATTTAACTGAAAGAAAATCGATAAATCAAGAAAATGATGAATTAATGACTTCATTATTTAGAAAAGAAAATTTCAAATCATATATTCAACAAATTGATGAAGAATATGGACTTAATATGAACTTGGTCAATAATACTGGTTATTTGGATAATGATGACGATTCGGTAATATATAATTTTAAGAATTCCAATGGAGATGAAAATATACAATTACATCCCAAAGATCGAGCCTTATTAAGAGATGCAGGTATTGGTAATGTATCAAAGTCAGAACCAGGAGTATCATTTTTAAGAAGAACTGAATACATTTCAGAGCGTCAATTACCAAAGATTGAAAATGAAATAAAAGATACCAAAGAATATGAAATTGAAAGTAAAAAACAAGATAATCATGATCCAGACTCTCAATTAGCAGCTGTCGAACAAACTTTTGATCAGGCTCAAGAAACTTTGAATGATTTAAGTAAATTAAAACATCCGAAAAAGAAGAATTTAAAAGCAGTTTCAACTTGGTCTCTTCTACCAGATACTTCAATGATGGATTCAAAATTTTTATCGGTAAAATTTGCCGGTTCTGCTTCAATTCAACGTGAGTTACAAGCCATTAAAAGACAGGAAAAGGATAATTATGATGAAGATTTCCATAAAAATTCATTATTATCAACCATTTATAGACCAATTACCTCTGAAGATGGTGAGTGGATATCATTATATCAATTAGAAGATTCTAAAAAAGCATTAGAATTAAAAGAAAAACTCAATTCAACCGAACGTGAACGCCCAGTCAATTTATTGGATGAAGAAGATAAAGATTTGGAAGAATTCAAATTCAAACATTTTAAAAATTATGATATGCATTATAGTAAATATGCAAAACCATATGAGGAATTGGCAATCAAATTCATACCAAATGGTGGAGATAACTCCAAAAAAAGAAAAGCTGCATTATTTTATCCAGTATCTGGACGTATTAACTTGAAAAAACACAGAGCTTCTACCAATACTGAAATCAATAGATTTTTAAGAGATAGTACTGTTGACGCAATTAACTTCAAATTAAGAGAACCAAATACTAATGAATTAAGACAAATGGATAATATGAGATCAGAATTTGATCCTATGGAATACGAAGGTGAAGAAGAAGAAGAACAAGAGGAACAAGAAGAAGAACAAGATGATATCGCTCAAGAATTCGATGAAGCTACCCAAGCTGAAATGAATTAAAAAAAAAAAGAATTTAATTTAAAATTTGTATTATTAATATACGTACTTAAACAATTATACATTGGCCATTTTTATCTTTGGATTTACTTTTTGGTTTATCTTTTAGTTTATCCTTTGGTTTATCCTTTGGTTTATCCTTTGGTCTATCTTTAATTCTACCAGTGAAAGAATGCTTTTTAGATAATTTTTTCTTGTTCTTATCATTTTCAATAGTTTTTGATTCAATAGTTTTTTTATGATTTAATTTGGCCTGTAGTTCTTGAGCCATTCTTTGATCTTCTTCTTCTTGTAATTGCTTGATTAATTTATAACTCTCATCATTTTCATCATTCATAACATCAAAAGTATCATCACCAAATGAAGGAATGAAATCCCCGGTGAAAAATAAGTCATCTATCCCACTAACCGATATCAAGGATTGCCAAACAATTTTCTTATTTGAAGATTTATTATTAAATATAGCATCTGTTACCAAGATATAAAAATCATTATCACTTCTTTTATATAAAGTAACAAAATGATTATTACGAAAGAAGATTATAAAGTTATCAGTATTCAAATTTAAATTGAGCTTTTTCAATCCATTTTTAGTTAATTGAGTTTTATTCAATTCTAACCATTTTTCAACTAAATACTTATTAGAATCTTCACTCAATAAATAATCTTGAATCTTATCAAAAGTTTGTAGATCATTTAATATATCAACCAATTTCCCATAATCCCCATCGAATTTTTCATCGTTTACCTGATCTAAAATCCATCCATGTTTGAAAGTTAAGTGGAATTTCTTAAATAGTATACTTGCTAATTCATTAGATGGGAAATCTCCAGTGACAAGATTTGGATTAACGGTTAATCCAGTATGTAACAACGGCAAACTTTCTAATAGTTTATCGAGGGACTCTCCTTCCTTATCATCTATATCATCAATATCATTGAATACCAATAAAATATCTCCTAATTGTGATAGAAGTTTATCCATACTAGCTGAACCATCAACGTTATTCATTAAATATTTTTTCAAATTCCCAATACTTTCGAATATTCTTAGTTGATCATCCTCTTCTTTCTTATCGGGATTAGTGAAATCGGAATTTATTTGATAATTTCTATACTTAATCTCGTATTTTAGTATTAACGTATTTACCAAGGCAATTAATGGACATGGTCCATTGATATCTTGTAATAAAATTGGACTTTCATGTTCATAATCAGACCAATGAATCAACTTAACTTGGAACTTGATATCCTGATACTTGCTTTTCAATTCTTGAGTCATGACAAGGCTGCAATGACTACTTGTCCGTATATACTCAAATCTGGGGAAGTTGTGAATATCTGCTGGAGTTCTCACTATCAACGATTTTTTTTCCTCTCTATTTTTCTTACATCAAAGTCTTTTGGAATACCCAAGAGATCCGTTTGGTCTTTTATAATCGTTAGACCATAACAAAAAAATGACCCAGAGCCAAACGGAGCCTACCGTTGGGGCAGCGTAGTACAAAAGAGGGTGAACAAAAGCCGAGAACAGTCAAAAAAAGGTGCCGTCAACGATTTTTTATTGATCTTAACGTTTTTACAAAGACGATTTATGATTGTTTACCTAATCTTCGCTTATGTTTAGTAGAAAGTGTAAAGTATAAACTGTCAATTATATCATGAATTAAAAGAGAATAAAACATATTTAAAAATCACTGATAAATATAAAGATTATTAAAAAATTAAAGAATAAACCAACGCAAGAACAGAAAATAAACCTAAACCTAAGGTGACATTACATTTTAAAGTTTCCAAACTAACAATTTGTTTAATTTGGTCATCGATATTATTTCTTTCCAAGATGAATTTAGTAATTGGGGATTGAGTTAAAGTAGCAGTTTTTGGAATAGTTTCCGAAGTAGGATACATTTTTTCACAAAATTGTTCAATTTCCCCTAATTTAATACCAATTTTTAAATAGTTTGGATCACGAACTGAAGATTTATGATTAATAATTTTAACATAATATCTGAAAACATTAACAACATCAGGTAAGGTTCTTGAATTAAGAATTAAATTACAAGTAGTACCTTTTCTAATTTTAACATTTGAATGTAAAACTTTTGGATTATTATAAATGGTTGCTAAAGTAGCAATTGCCATAACTTGAGGAATAGCACAGAAATTGAAACAAGAAGGGTCTTTAACTAAAGATAAGTAAGTTAAAACATCGGTAACGTGATTTAAAGCATTAAGAACTAAATCATTGATACAATATAACCCTTGAGTTTCTGATTCAATTGATTGATCTTTATGAAATGAGGTTAAATCAGAAGTATATTTTGACCAAGTTTCTTTTGGCCAAAAAGATCTCCCATCTTCTAAATCTTCATGATAATCTCTAATGATATTAGTTTTTTGTAAGAAAAGACCCATGGATTCAGATTTAGCAAAATTATCTTTAATAACTTCATCATTGGCAAAGTTTGCTGAAACCATTAACTTGGTTAACCCTTCTCCGACTAACCCGGCAACGTAATGACAGTATAAATCATAATCTTTATTCGTAGCAACCCCCTGAGTATTGAAATTTTCATCCAAGATATAATCAGCCATACCATTACCCATTTCATTAGTAATTTTTTTAATAATATCTTGATAATGGTCCTTCAATTTATGATACTCTGCCAATATAACATCAAACTCCACCAAAACCACCCTATCCTTTTCACCCAATGCATTACCATCAAAAGTCCAATCTTTTAAACTCAATTTTTCATGGAAACTTCTCAATAACGGTACTTTAATTTCCGGGTCAATGGACATATCATCCTCAACGGTATCCAAAGCCCTCAACACAAGATAAAAGATCATGATTGCATCCTTCAACTCGGGATTCAATTCCTGAATCACTGCTGCAAACGAACGTGAAGTCTTATTAAGAAGCTCGTAGCATCTCTTCAAACTGGGCCCCAACTTATTTACGTCTTGAGGATGAAATGGTTTTCTAAACCAGAACAATTGAATGACTGCTCTCAATTCACTGGGATGCGAAAGCAACTGTGTGGCCTTACCCATGGTCAAGTATCGGAATATACAATGAAAAGTCGTTGAAAAAGCTGTTAAAAGAAGTTCGCTTCAATCGAATGGATTTTTTTTTTTTTGTTTTGACTGGAACTTTTGGCGTTTTTTATTTTTTATTTTTTTTTTTTGTTAAATTTTTCATTTCATCTCTAAACGAGCAGCCTTACATAATCTTATACGATAACATCCTTCCCGTATATACAACTCTATAAGTTAATTACTTACCGTTTTCGATTTTTTCAAACCATTTTCTGGCGGCCTTGATGTTTTCAAGCACCACCAATTCCTCATGGCTGCTGACGTAGGTGGAGTCAGTCAATTGTTTGTCTTTCAAAACAATCATGATGAATAGGTTATCGGTTAGGATATCGATGTAGAAATGGGTACCGTTTGAGCCTCTGATAACCAAGTTATGGAAGTTTGTTCTTAATTTTGATATTGACTGCTTGTAGGTTTTGATAATGTTTGAAATTTTTTCAAATCTTTTTGGATCTAGGGTTTCTTCATCTTGCAAGTCCGGTTGCTTTTGTTGTTTAATTGAGGAGGTGGACGAGATGACTAGAAAAGTTGTTTTTTCAAAGAGAATGATTTCTTCGGCATCTAAGATTTGATTGAATTTGATTAAGTTGTTATTGAAAAGATTCATATTTGGAATTAAAGAACAAACAATTTGAGACCAGGCTTTGTATAACGATTCATCCCAGATGGAAGTAGGGAAGCCCACCAATTTGAATTGGAAAGGATTGGATATATTTTGTAATTTCTCCATCATCATTGAAAATAGTTCGTCTCTTTTGTCAATTTGAACCAAATCCATTTTATGGAGTAATATGAAAATTTTGGCATCTGGACTGAATTTTTGTAAATTAGTTAATGATTTAACGAAAATTTCCATATCCTTTTTAATCGACTTGGACTCAACATCGAAAACATGAATCAACACTTGCACCATCTTGAATATATGGTCTTTTTGAGATGAAAAGTAATTATCCATAAACACATCTTGTCCACCACAATCCCATAAATTAAGCGTCATATTTCCCAAAAACCTTAGGTGGGAATGCTCAACATCGATGGTGGCACCTAATCGTCTTGTATCAAAGGCAGAATAATTCAGAAATATTATTGACCTCATCGATGACTTCCCGGAACCGGAACGTCCCATCAACAAAAGCTTCTTTCTGGATGACATTGGGGTATGCTTTTGGTACTGGAAAAAGAATCAGAGCAAACGTATTTTTTTAAAACCCTTTGAGTTTTCTCTTTGTATCAATTAATGTTTCAAGTAAACAAAAGGTAACACACCGTATGAACGTGATGACTTCAACAAATGCTGGTTCTTTGCTTTGTATTGACAACTGAAAAGATGAATAATACTAAACTGGACTTTATTCTGCTTTTTTTCATTTGTTATCATGAAAATTTGGTGTACGGAAAAAAATTGCACCATTGACATCCTCATTGTATCTGATAACACTATACTAGCATTCTGATAGACTGTTAGCATTCGGATAACACTATTCGGTAGTGAGTTTCTGTAGTCTTGATATGTGCTCGGTGGTTGTACTCTGCTTGGAACTGTCACTTCCTTGAATGGGATTTAAACGTATATAGCTGTTATGAAGATTCATGTAGATCGTACAATGGTATAAAGATATCATAAAATGTCATGAAGATGCCAATAAGGTTTTGTGAAGATGCCAATAAGGTTTTGTGAAGATGCCAATAAGGTTTTGTGAAGATGCCAATAAGGTTTTGTGAAGATGCCATGAAGAGGCCATGAAGAAGTCCTCCAGACCGTATAGGATTCATATTCCAAGCACAGTGCCAGTTCTGCAGTCAATTCCTGGAGAGTGAGTCCTCCCTGCTTGTGGTAAAAGCGTATTCAAAGATTTTCGATTAAAGATATGGCAGCTGAATGAAATTACGGCCTGAATTAACCAAAGAAACAACCAAAGCCCTCCATGGTACGCCAACAGTTTTGCTACAATTGAAGTTGACACAAGGTCCAACCAGCACATTAACCACTGCACCAACATCACCACACCAACTAACCACACCAACCTCAACCACTACAAAACAGCCACAACTCCAACAGCAACCAGAAATCAAGCAGAAATCAACCAGGTGGCTGAATGGCTGAAACAGAGTAATAGCAAAAACTCGTGGGTTTACCAAACAAATTGCTGCAAAAATTAAATTAGCTTGTATTATAATTATTAACTCTATTATACACATTGAATAAGAATAATACATAGAAAGTGATTAATTGGATGATTTAGATTCGTCTTGAGAAGACTTGGATTCAACCTCGACCTTATGAAATGCGGTTTTTTCATTTAATCTGGTTAAAAACTCAGGATCTTCATTCGAATTATAAAGAATGATACCATTTTGTTTAGCAAATTTACGTTCTTGTTTCTTATAAAACCATAAAACGACAAAAGTCCAGACGCATAATGCAAAAGCACAACATGCTGTAAAAGAGAAACCTTTTAAGTATCTTGGTTGTTCCACTGTTTTCCAAACCAAAACAGAAGTCCAAGTAGAACAGGCTTGGGAAAGTGCATTCATAACAACTAAGATAATGGCTCTTTTTTCAACATTTCTTCTATTAATATCGTTTGACCAACTATATAAAACTGGGGCCATGGCCCAACCAAAATATGATAAACTGAATGCAAACCATTTTGCCCTTTCTGGAATATGCCAAACTGCTAATAAAACATTACCAAGGACATTAAATACTTGCGAGAATATAATGGCTCCCCAACGACTACGAAATTGATCAGCGAAAAGACTGGTTATAAACAACCAGGCCAACCCCACTCCAGGAGCCATGGCGGTGATATCCTGTAATTTACCACCAGTATAACGTTGAACAACTTCCCCAGCGTCATCTATTTTAGTAAGGGATTTTACCCAAAGTAAATAAGATCCAGACAGGGCATTACTGTTACACCAACAAAAGATATCCCAAAGAGTAAGAACGTAAAGTTCCCAAGAAGTGAACACTTCCTTCCAAAGTTGCCAATTGAATAAAGCTTTAAGTTTATTTGTGGGTGATCCTCCAGTATGGTTTTGTTTCAATCTATAACGTAATAACCTGATTTCATCATCGGTGAAGAAAATCGAATAACAATCATTGGGAGTCCCTGGAAGTCCATAGAAAGAAACTAAAGCAACACCAATTCCAATACAACCATCCACTATAAACATCCATTGCCATGCTTTTAAACCATGCATACCATTCAAACCTCGTTCGATAGCTCCTGATAACAAAGACAGACTGAGTGTTCCAATATACTGACCCAAATAGTAGACCATGCTTCTCTGACTCATTGCGTCGGCATTAAAAATAAAGGATCCAAAAAGAAATTGGAAAGATAAATAACTTCCGGATTCACAAACACTAACAAAAAACCTTATAGCCTTCAAACCGGCAACATTAGTAACTCTATAAGTAAGAAGAGTAAGGATTGACCATATGAGATCTAAGAATGGCAAAACGTAATTTAATGGTAAATTAATTAAAATATAAATAAAAGGAATTTGGAAAACAATATTACCAACATTGAAGATTGCTTGGGTATTAACAAGATCGTTACCTTTCATGCCTAAATCCTCTTTAAAATCAGGCATGATGTAAGCATTATTCAAATTGGCAGTATCTAAATACTTATTCCAATACACCATCATGGATATAAATGTAAGACATAAGTCAATTTTAATCATTAACCTTCTCTCAGCCTTAGTATCATTTTTATCATACCATTGATACCATTTACGACTCTCTCTTTTGTTACGAGGTAATCTGTACTCATATTCATCGAAAAACTTATACCATTTACGATCAGCCTCATCCCGGTACTCGTACTCTTGCGGATTGGCAACTTCATCTTCAATCGAATTGGTTTCGTAATTATCAGCAACTAACCCTACCACCGCTTTTGAATCAGTCAAGATCTCAGTTTTGGAATGGGCTGCATGAACTTGCTCTTCATCAATAGCCTCATCCACAACTCTTCTCACCGGTAAAAAACCCCATTTAAGCCTTTTCCAAGGATCTGAAAAACCCATATCTATTACTAGTAAATTATTAACTTACAGACAAAAATTAACTTAAAAAAAAGATCCTACGGCTGCTGAGTCACTTATATACTAGATCATCTCTAATAGTTTACAAAATTGTGGCCCTCATCTTAAATACGATAACAATAGAACTAATAAGCCGTTATAGGTCGGTCCACCAATAAATTCCGTTTTGATAATTTTTCACAGAACGGCATTACATTGCAGCCATAATTTCGCCAAGTCACGTGAATGAGTCATTGCGACAAAGCCTGTGTCGTTTACTGATTTTGCGACACACACTCTGCATTGGGAAACCCGCACACCAAATAATTTTACGGAATTAACGAAAATACAGTTACCGCATTGGTACCGAAACCGTCCCGTTTAATCTTCTTGTCGGTTTCCCCACGTGCAATCCGGGATTAATGCTGTCGGATTGCAAAAAATAGAAGCAGGAGGAAGACTGAGCAAGTTGCAAAAACCAGACTCATCAAGCAGTGAAGAAGCCTGGACTGAAGTAGGTGTTCAGTGGAATAAGAGAGACTAGCACTAAGTGGAACGCACACGGGAGCCTTGGTTAGGAGAAAAAGCACCAGTTCGTATCAAATACCGAATTAAGGTAAGCTACAGAAGTAATTGGACTGTTACCTCGAAGACAATTAGGTAAATTAAGTACGGCATCGAATTTCAAAAACGTTTTCTCATCGGGATATGACTATAAAAACTAGGCGAATTACACCAGGAATCAAGAAGGAAAGACAAGTAACTAACAATGGTGAATTTTGTATCAACCCTATTATTAGGGTTAGCTGCTGGTCACGCTATCCCAGGGATTGGGTCGATTGAAAAACAGTTGGTGGCTCGTGATGAAAACTATATGGATTCAGTTTATAATAACTTACCGGATCAAGACATTGATTTCATTAATTATCATTTGAAAGGCTTGACGGGTTATAATGGTACTGATTGTAATAAGTGTAAAAACAAGATTAAGTACGGTCAAAGTTTATTACACGAGCAACCAGATAAGAAGCATTTAATATCTTTATTACTTTTCAAATATTGTATTGAAGAAAATAAAGGGAAGGAATCTAAATGTGATAACATTGATTTTTTCGTTACTACTAATTCCTTGAATTCAAATACTGAATCTGGAGATTTTGCCGGTTATCAATCAGAAACTAGTATTAATTTTTATGATAATGACTTTTTATCAATGTTAAATTTTTTCAATGTGTCTTCTGATTTGGATTTAGAGTATTATTGTCACTTCAAAGCTAAGAGTTGTGAGTTACCAGAAACTCCAGATATCGAACGATACGATTTTGATTCCAAATGGCCTGCTAAACAACCCCATCAGTATTTTGAACCAACTTATAATGAAAGCCGTGAATTGTTCAATGTCTTACATATAAGTGACTTCCATAACCAGTTGAGATACGCCGTTGGTAGTGAAGCTAACTGTACCAGTAATGGTCTTTGTTGCTTACCGGAAGTTTACAATGAAGATTTACCAAAGGATAAGAATCATAATTTTACTGATGTCTATTATGATTTAGATCCAAGTTTGGAAAATGGCGAATTGAATATCAGTTTCTATCCAAATGCTCATTATGATGAAAATAACCAATACGTTAAAGGTGATTACTATGATTATCCAAAATACCGTGGTTGGGATTTTAATTGGTTACCTGCCACCACTTTTGGTAATTACGATTGTGATCCTCCAGAAACTTTAATGAATAATAGTTTGAAATATATTAGTGAATATAACCAAAGTTATGAATTCTCAATCTTCACTGGTGATATCGTTGATCATGATGTTTATCATTGTGATGCTAATACAACAAAATTTGCTGAAGTTAGAAGTTATGGTATTATGAAACATTTCTTGAAAAATTTAAGTGTTTACCCTACTTTAGGTAATCACGATACTTTCCCTTACGGTCAATTACCAAGCTTGAAATTATCAAATCATCTTGATACTGATAAGAGTAGCTACCATTGGAATTCAGATTTGTTAAGTAAATTGTGGACTTCAAATGATTGGTTGCCCAAGCATGACATGGATCAAATTGCTAACCATTACGCTGGTTTTGCAACCGTTACCAAAAAAGGTTTGAAAATTATTTCGCTCAATTCAAATTGTTACTATCAAAAAAACTTATGGGCTTATATTGGTTTAGAAGAAGATCCTGATTTATTCGGTCAATGGGAATTCTTGATTAATGAATTGGTTGAAAGTGAAAAAACTGGTCAAAGAGTCTGGATCATGGCTCACATTCCAGCCGGTGATTCATCTGCATTACCTATTCAATCAAGTATTTTTGCTAAGATTGTCAAGAGATTTTCTCCTTATACTATTGCTAATATTTTCTATGGTCATACCCATAAAGATCAATTCAAAATTTTATATAACGATACTGATCCTATCAACATGGCTTGGATTTCCCAAGCAATTACTCCTTTGGGTCCTTCCAATCCAAGTTGGAGATATTACCAAGTTGAAGATGAATCTTTCAATATCATCAATTCTTTTAATTACTATACCGAATTGAATAAAACTTTCACCAATGACGGTAATGAACCAGAATGGTTATATGAATATAGTGCAAGAGACACCTACGACCCAGAACATGAATGGCCAGAAAAAGCTCCATTAAATGCAACTTTTTGGAACAGATTTGTTGTTGAGCCGATCAAGAATGAAAGTAACATTGAATTCAATCAAAAATATACCGACCTTCTTCATCGTTTTGCACCAGGTACTCCAGACTGCAAAAATGGTTCTGTCATTAGTGATCAATGCTATACTGATAACATTTGTGATATGAGTTCCTTTACAAGCGATGAGTATAACAAGTGCCAAAGAGGAAGTTTTGATTAAACAAATAGTTTATATAATTTTCTAGATATAAGTTTGTGTTGATACCCATAACTACAGTAATAAAAGTAATACTTATCCTGTGAAACAGTTTTATTGTAATGATTTTACAAAATTGAGATAGAACTGAAATTATAGATTAATTATTAATATACAAGTTTTTCAAAATAAACATGAATCCATTCGTAGAAAACTAACCAGCATTACTCATGTCTGCCATTGGGTTGAAAGTAGTAGGTGCATTAAAGGAAGGGTCGTTTGATGGAATATAAACCGAGCCTTCATTTCTTCTATTTGGATTAAAGCTTTCATTGAAACCACCTCTTCCTCTTCCCCTTCCTCTTCCACCTCTGCCTCTACCCCTAAAACCACCTCTAGCACCTCCTCTGTATTCGAATTTTCTTCTTTCACTGTTAGCTTCCTGGCTGGCCTGGCCACCATATACCCCTCTACCAAACTGTCTTCCTTCACGGAAACCAGGATCTAAATCGATTTCTAAGTTTTGCCCATCAAGATAGGTACCTTTCAAGTATTTCATCGCATTTAATGATCCATCTTCACTTTTATAAATAACAAAACAAAATCCACAGGGAGTCAATTTCACCCTATCCAACCCCATGATGATTCTCGATATAGTACCACATTTGGAAAATAGCTCGTGTATCTGTTCTTCAGTAGTAAAATGAGATAAATTCCCAACATAAATAGTTTTCAGATGTAATGCTCGAGTTAAGTTCTCGAAATTCTGTCTTTTGATAGCTTTCTTTATCAAATACTGAGATGGTTTATCCAATCTTTCAGCAGAGTGCGTGTAGTCTTCCTCAAGAAGTTCCATGTTGATGGTGTTATTCAAAAACTAGTGATTCTTAAGTACTAATGATTGTTATATTAAGTTTCAATTTTCAGTTCATGTCTAGCAGAAAAAAATTGAAGAAGAATCTCAAAAAGCGTAAAAATGAAACCATGTTAGTATTTATAATTAACACTGTATCAAAATGTTCAAGCTACCTTTCAAGACTGGGATAAGGGCTGCGTACAATGTGCTGGACAAACCGTCATTTCTGTCGGAACCATGGTTGGTATACCCTGCAAAACACAAATCAAATGGTAAGTTGGTGTCGGTTTTTATTTTTGATAAGACTAAGTTTGAAGCTCAAATAAATAAGATGTCAGGAATGTCAAAGAATCCAAGAGTAATTATAAGTGAATGCTATGAGTTGATAAAGTTTGAGATCAGCCAATTGACAAAGTTGAGACACCCACAAATCCTAACCATATATGAAGTTCTCGAAGAAACAAAGCTGAAGTTTCTATTTGTTTCTGAACCGGTTGATGATAACTTGTTGACTGTCAGCAGCAGGAAATTGGATGATTTGAGTATACAAAAAGGTATTTTGGAAATTGCCAAAGGTTTACAGTTTTTACATAATAATTGTTCAATTATTCATTCTAATTTACAACCATCTTCAATATATATAAATAATCAAGGAGATTGGAAATTAGGTGGCTTTAAATTCTTACAAAATTTGAATGAAATATCGCCACAAGAGAGAGAAAATTACTATATTATGAACAATTCTTCATTAGTACCATTTTCTAATATCAACTTAAACTATACTGCACCCGAGTTGATATTAGATAACCAACAAAAATTAGGCTTTGCTAACGATATTTTTTCATTAGGTTGCCTCATATACTACTTATACAATGAAGATAACTTGATTAATTGTTTCGATCCTAATAGCATTACTGAATATAAACAAGAATTTCAAAAATTTGCTAATAAGTTTTATAATCATCGTTCAAGTGATTTAAAATACGTTCTTAAAAACGTCCCAGAAAATATTTATCCACTTTTAATGCAGACTTTATCAAGATACCCTTTTGATAGAATTTCTGTTGACCAGTTTATTGATTCGGAATTTTTCGATGGAAGCATCATCAAGGCAATGTGGTTTGTTGATGAATTTTCCACGAAGAATATAAGTGAGAAATTGATCTTCATGAATGGTTTATTGAACGATAGTATTCTTTCACAGTTTCCCATTCATTTCAAAAATCAGAAACTCTTACCCTTAATGATTGAGCTCATAGTAAATGAACTCAATATCTTGAAAGGTAAAAAGTTAGACAATGATATAAATGAACTCTTAACATATGCATTGACAATAACATTGGAAATTGGAGACGGCATTTCAGGCTTATCTTTTCAGGATAAAGTTTATGACCAATTACTCCTCTTGAAGAAAAAAGATTGCACATTTACCTTATTAATTAACACTTCGGTTAAAATCAGATTGGTTTTGATTGAACACTTATCAACTTTACAATCAAAATTGAAAGACAAACAATTGGTTAGCGTGATAAAAGAATTATCAAGTTTATGTCTAACTTCATCACCGCTTGAGACTGATCTGCAAGCAGATCAGATCAAATTACAGGATCTATTCTTGACTAAACTTATCACAGTGATAAATCAATTCGACTTTCCTTACATCAAAAACTCATTGTTCCCATTGCTTTGCCAAGTGTTTAAAACAACAACCATTCTCTCTACAAAAATCACAACCATTGACTTGTTTGAAAAATTGATTGATCAGAAAATAATAGATAAGATTATCGTAGCAGATCAATTGTTACCAATCTTGAAAAACTTAAAGAGTAGGGATAAAAGAATAGTTAGTAAAACATTGAAGTTATTTGGTAAGTTAAGCTCGAGTGAACACATTTCATTAGACCTTGAATCGTTGGTTGATACTGTTCTTTCACAATGTTTCAAACTTGCATTTGCTTGTAATGATTGTAATCAACTGGAATTTAAAGCTTTCATTGATGAAATTAATAGAATTCAAAATATTTTAACTACCAAAAAAATAGACTCATTGGCCAAACATTCCGATACAAATTTTAACAGCATTATAAATACTAGACATAGTATTGATACAGCAGCTCCGAAGACCGTTCCAATTAAGCCAACTTCTCATGAAACACCGGTAAAGCCAACGACTACTACAAAACCAATGAAGAATCAGCCGTTGTCTCTGAAGAACAAGAATCACCAAAATCAAAACCAAAACCAAACTTTAAAACCTAAACTTAATTTTGGCGACACTTCGTCCAACCAGAACAATAATTTGTTAGATACTTTGAATAAAACTTGGGGTAAAAGAAATATTCCTGAGCCAGAAACGCTTAATGATGATGACGACGACTTTGAAGAATTCCAAAAAGCAGAAACTACACCTCAAATCAACTGGAATAGTGAAATAAACAAGTCTCTCCCCATGAATCAAAGGATGTCTCAAAAGGCTACCACCAACGGCCAACCAAGGAAATATCCTCCTGGATTCGATTCAAATATGGTCCTTACCCCCAATGGTACGGGTGGAAGCCAGACCAAACCTACAATCCAAAATCAAAAGAATTCTGACCTCTTAGATCTTCTTTAAATAGCACTAATAATTAATAAATATGTATATATTCCTTATAAGAAAAAGAGACTGAAAGTATTACTTTCTTACGGATAATCCTAACGACTTGTTAACTTCATCAATAGCACCTCTTGCGGCCTTCACATTACCAAGAGCATTTGGCATATCCGAATGTAAGCAGCAACTAAGGGGACTTCCGCTAAAGCCAAGATTCAAGGTGGTGTCTTCAATATCAACGACTTCATCAGAAATACATGCCTTGTTAATATGCCCAGCCAAAATTTCCGGAGTTTTAAGGCTTTTGGGACCCGCTTTGATTCTACATAAAGTTCCTTCTGGGGTGTAATTCAAATCAGGATAAAATTCTTGAATGAGCTTGACCCCGTACTCTTCTGCAAGTTGAGTATACCTTGCTGACTTACCAGCAACCAATGGCACATCAAACACTTTGGCTGCTCTTATGACTGCTCTCATGACATTTTCATCCCTTTCGACATAAAAATATAATTCCCCATGAGGCTTGATATGCGTCAATTCGACCCCTTCTGCTTGAAGGAACCCTTTCAAAGCACCAGTCTGATAGATAGTTAGCCGGTAAATGTCTTCAGGATCAATTAACCAAATTCTTCTTCCAAAACCTTCTTTATCAGGTAGTCCAACATGAGCACCACATTTAACATCGTGTTTTTTAGCTAGCCTGACCATATCCTCCATAATCTTGGGATCACCAGCATGACCTGCACAAGCAATGTTAGCTCGATCGATCAATGGCATGATTTCTTCGTCCGGCCCCAACTTCCAAGGTCCAAATCCTTCACCCATATCACAATTGATCTCATGTCTTACTAGCAACTTAGCGTTATGTTCGGCAGGTCCCAGCAATACCTTTGGTGTTTTTGCATCCAAGTCCTTATTAAGTTCAACCATAATCGAATTGAATATATATTGCAAAAAAAGAAGTATTAAGTTAAAGCCTCTGGGAGTTATTTCAGTTGACCTTCCTATCTCTAGTAGCATGATCCTCTTCCCGCTAACCCATCTAGTTTCCCGCTAAGCTTGAACGTTATCAGGCGAGGAGTTAAGCCTATTGTCTACAGGTGGAGTAGTACAGTTTAGCGCGAATGAAGGGAAAGCTTGTACTCTTATCCAAATAACGGTTGAAGCTTATTTAAAGATTTTGATAAGATAAAAATGAAACGATTCCGGATGAATCTAGTTGTAGCTTACTTGTTTTCTTTTCAGGGTAAAGCAAAATGTCAGAATTTTCAAAGATTGGCAAGGTTCTCATAGCCAATAGAGGTGAGATAGCGTGTCGAACTATAAGATGCTGCAAAGAAAACAATTTACAATCGATTGCAATTTTCTCGAGTGACGATGCTGATTCCGCTCATGTAATTGAAGCCGATGAGTCTCATTTGATAAATGGAAGTGGTGCAACTGCGTACCTTGACATCGATCAAATAGTCCGAATAGCCGTCGATTACGGTGCTGATGTCGTGGTTCCAGGTTATGGGTTTCTCTCCGAGAACCCCCAGTTTGCGGAAGAATTATCCAAGAAGGGCATAATATTTGCTGGTCCATCCTCTGAGTCGGTGAATCTCTTTGGTTTGAAACACAGTGCTAGAGAATTGGCAGAAAAGAGTAATGTACCAATTGTGCCAGGATCAAGATTGATCGAGTCATACGAAGAAGCTTTGAATGAAGCAGAGAGAATTGGATTCCCTGTGATGATAAAGTCAACTGCTGGTGGTGGCGGAATGGGTTTAAAGGTAGTTCACGAAAAGGATGAATTACAGTCTGCCTTAAACGATGTGATTTCCAGGGGAAAGGCGTTGTTCAAGAATTCGGGTGCTTATTTGGAAAAATACATTGAACATGGCCGTCATATTGAAGTCCAGATCTTTGGAAACGGACGAGGTGATGTGGTTGCGTTTGGTGAGCGTGAGTGTTCTATTCAAAGACGTCACCAAAAGGTTATTGAAGAAGCCCCAAGCCCTTTTGTTGCCTTACCAAGCTATAACCACTTGGAATTGAGAAAGAATTTATCTAAGTGCGCCATAGAGTTGGCAGCCACCATCAAGTATAAATCAGCTGGTACTGTTGAATTTCTAGTGGATGATGATTCAGGGGATTACTACTTTTTGGAAATGAATACCCGTCTTCAAGTGGAACATGGAATAACTGAATTGATATATGGAGTGGATTTAATGAAGCTTATGCTACTTCAAGCTGAATTCGAGGCCAGGAATGAAGTAGGATTACCCAAAAAAACACTTCTTTCCGAAGGGTCTTATCAAGTGGATAATGACGGTGTTGCAATCCCCCAAGGATGGGCAATTGAATGCAGAATATATGCTGAAAACCCTGCTAAGAATTTCCAGCCTTCTCCCGGTATTCTTCATAATGTCGATTTTCCTCAGACAGTTGATGATTGTGAAGTAAGAATTGATCACTGGATTTCTACTGGTAATAAAGTTTCTCCTTACTTTGATCCATTATTAGCAAAAGCCATGATACTCGCCCCAAACAGAGTCAAGGCAATCGATGGAATGATTAAATTACTCAAGGAAACAAAAGTTCAAGGACCTCCTGTGAATATTGATTACTTATCTAAAATACTATCAAGCAAAAACTTTCAGTCTGGCTATACTTTGACTTCGTTCTTGAACAGATCCTTCGAGTATATCCCTCCATTGCTTGAAATTTTGCAACCTGGTGCTTATACTTCCATTCAGGATTTACCTGGGCGTGAATCCTATAGTGCTGGTATCCCCTTATCTGGACCTGTCGATCCCTTGTTTTTGCAATTAGCTAATTTGATCGTGGGTAATGACCGTAAATCTGAAGCTTTAGAAATAACATTCAAGGGCCCAACTATAAAATTCCATTCACTGGCAACAATATGTCTCGCTGGTGGAAAATTCAAATTTAGATCAAATGGAAAGGATTTACCTATGTTCACCGCAATAACAGTCCCTGCCGATTCAACCATTAAAATTGGTGATTTTATCGGTCAAGGTGCCAGAGCTTATTTAGCAATTCGTGGTGGTTTACCAGATGTTGCTTCGTATCTTGGTTCAAAAAGTTGTACACCTACTTTAAATTTAGGTGGTCATCAGGGAAGAGTTCTTATGAATGGTGATTGTCTTGCAATAAAGCCAGTAACTTTCAATGAACATTCTCCTAAATGTGGATTCAAATTACCTCCTCATTGCATGCCTTCTTTAGAGAGCTTGGAAGATGACCATGTTTGGACCATAAGAATGTTAAGTGGTCCTCATGACACTCCCGAAATTTGCAGCAAAGAAGGTTTAGATATGTTTTATAATACTGTCTATAGAGTGAATTTGAATTCGAATAGAGGATGTACTAAATTAGATGGACCTGCAAATGTTTTCTCCAGGAAAGATGGTGGTGATGGAGGCTCTCATCCAAGTAATATTTTAGAATACCCTTATCCTACTTGTGGGTTGAGTATTGTTGGTAGTGTTGTGTCTTTATTTGGTGTTGATGGTGGAACTTTATCGGGTTTCACTTGTATTTGCACTCCAGCAAAAGCTGATTGGTGGAAGATTGGACAGGCCAAGATAGGTGCCGGCTTAAAATTTAAACTCATTAGTTATCTGGATGCCTTAAGACTATCCGAACAAAGAGAAATTTTTTTTGTTGAATTAGAAAATGCTATTAAAAAAGGTACAGACTTGCCTGACTTTACTGATGAATTAGATCAATACGAAAACGAAGTTGACGAAATATCTAAAACCAATTTGTATCACAGAAAAAGTAACCAAGACAAAGGTTTACCTGAATTCACTATCAGACAAGCTGGAGAAAACATGATTCTTACTGATTTTGCAATTGATCACTTTACGTTATTGAATAACGGTCGCCAGAAAGCCTTAGAGATTGAAATCGATAAATACGATGGGAGTTCTAAATTCATCAAGGCTATCATCAGAAAGGAATCTTGCACTGGATCCACTGGGTTTTTGTTCAATTCCAATATCATTGATAGAGAAGAATTTATTGAGATACTTGCAAACATTGAATCGAAGATTCCGCCACCTCATGGTCTCAAGATCAAAAGTACCTTGTATAGACTTCCATGTTGTTTCAACCATAGTGCTTTAAAGCATTGCATGGAAAGATATATGCATTCTCAAAGACCTTATGCACCATATTTACCTGATAACATCGAATACGTACGCAAAGCTAATTGCATTGATCTGTTTGAAAAATTCAAAGCCAACGTCATTGGCCAAACCCAAGTGGTCACTGCTGTTTCATTCTTCTGTGGCAATACCTTAGCTGTGAACATGGACCCACGTACCAGATTTAAAACGGGGAAGTTTAATCCGGCAAGAACTTTCACCCCCAAAGGCTCCATTGGTTCAGGTTCTGTTGGTAACTCAATTTATTCCATTGACTCTCCCGGTGGTTATATGATTTGGGGGATGACCCTTCCAGATTTATGCTGGAAAACATTTGGCAAACAACCATGGTATTTCAATAACTTTGATCAGATTATTTATTATGAGGTTGATGAGGAGCAGCTTAATGAATTGAATAACAAGTTAATCACTGGGAAATTGGATATCCAAAAAGAAGAAGTTGAATTTGACTTTAAAACTTATGATAAATATTTAAAAGAAAAGCATCATGACATTGACAAAGTAAATGAAGCCAAAATTAAAGCCACCTCACTTCTCGTAGAAGAGGAAGAGGCTTCCCATAAAAAGTGGTTAGCTGAACTTGAAGCTGCAAAAGAAAGTGCCAGAGAAGCTTCCGCCAGACAGTCCAAAGACATCCTCAACGATCCAAACACTATTAAGATCAAATCAAACATGGCTGCAAATATCTTTAAAATTAATTTCATGCCCGGTTCAAGAGTTAAAGCTGAGGATACCTTGATAATTCTTGAAGCAATGAAAATGGAGATTGCAATCAAACCAATCAATGATGATGAGGACAGCGACGAAGAGGAAGACCTGAACCTGAAAAATACAACTGACACCAGCTACGAAGTGCTCGAATTCATCGTAGAAGAAGGAGACGTTGTAGGTCCGGGTGATACTTTAGCTCTAATCAGAGCTGTTTAGAACTATATCAATATATGTTTTTTTACTGCAAAAAAGAGCAACGTAGGAATGTCGTATATGTCGCGAATGCAAATGTCGTGTCAGAGGGAAATGAGATATCGTTGTTGATAATCCCCGAACTTGAATTTCACAATTCAAATACTTTATACTTTAGGCTGAATTTTAAGATGACTTACCCAAATCCATTGAGAGTAGTTACAAGAAACTTGACTCCAAACATAGTCATTTCATCATGCAGCTTCAAGCGTTTTGACAAGGTCAATTTCGGGGCTAGAATGGCTCTTTTCAATTATGATAATTCTGTTATAGTTTGGTCTGCAATTCCCTACGGGGAAGAAGTCGATAAGGCTATACAAAAGTTGACTGGAGGCTCAGCCTTTGATGTCACTCACTTGATTATTCCAGACAAGGAACATACTATGGCTGCTAAGTCTTTCAAAGAGAAGTACCCGGCTATGAAAATCATTGCCATGGAATCGGTCGATTTAGGTGAATCATGCCCGATTGATTATACCATTACTTCTAAATATGCTAATAAATTGATCGATGCTTCTGTTTTAGAAGAAATTGGTATAAAAGAGTCGGCCATCTTGAAGAACTTCCAATTTGTATATCTTCCGCATCATGCCAATAAAGAGCTTGTTACTTACGATTTTAACTCTAAGATCTTATTCGAAGCAGATTTATTGTTCAATTTGGGAAATGGAGAAAAATTGGAACAGTTCAGCCCTGAAACAGGGTATCCTGAAGATTATAATCCGTACCTGGGCTGGTCTTGCTCTTCCAGATACTTACATCCAGATAGTACTGTCGGAAGATTTCTTCTTAACAAGATCTGTAACACTGCACAATCAGCTGAAGGTTTGAAGACCATATACAATTGGGATTTCAAGCTGATTGTCATGTGCCACGGTAACGTCATCGAACATGACGCTAAGACAAAGTTCAAGACTTTGTTCAGTTCTGTTTTATAATCTGTTTATGAGAATGTTACTTGCTGTGTAATAATAAGACCTATTTTTGTTTGTTTTTGATGATGACGATGATGATGACGATGATGATGATGATGACTCTGGAGATACCTTATTAATACACATTTACTTATTTAGTTGTAATTGTATTTATTTGTAGATAATATGATGTTTTGGCTGAAAAAATCATAGGACTGCATGTAATGCATCCCCCACAAACCAAACTGAGCTTTAGCCACGGAACAAGTTTAAGTAGCTCTAAAAAGTCAAGCCCGTCAAATACGAGTAAATACACCGGCAAGTCTACATAGTTATGACAAAACCTGAAAACGAAAGCAGTACCTTGGTTAATTCCAAAGAAAACAGTCCTTTTGAAGCAGACAAAGGGTCGCCAGACTATGAGAAAATACTCTTGGATCATCCAGTTTACCAATATTTCAATGATCTTTACAAAGAACATTCCAAGACCAATAACCATAGCTCATTGATCGAAGAAAACATCTGGCCCACTCTTACCGGTGAAACCTTGATTGGAAGGGGCAAAATTAATTTCAGAAGTAACTCTTTCTATTTGATTGATGATAAATTTTTAAGCGAATATAAAGACATTGATCAGTTGGAAAAGAATGAAAAGAATTACAGCTATACATTCTTTCACTTGGGATCAAAGCTTTCGGGCCACCAGAAGATAATCCACGGAGGTTTATTAGCCACTATTCTTGACGAAATCACTTGTCGTTTGGCATTTCAAAATTTCCATTCGAAGAAGGGGGTAACTGCAAATCTCAATATCAACTATAAACAGCCTTGCTACGTTGATTCATTTGTTCTTATAAAGTGTGAGACTACTAAGAAAACCGGAAGAAAGTGTTTCGTTAAGGGAAGCGTATTCAAACTCGACTTAAACGACGGGAACTTGCAGCTGCCTACCACTGATTATATCGAGTCTAAGGCTAACTTATTGACTGAGTGTGAGTGTTTGGTTATTGAACCCAAATGGGTGCATGAATTGCAAAATAAGCAGACTTGAACATTATTAATTATATATATTTATATTCTAATACACTCTATAAATTATCCGTTCCTTTTGTTTTACTTTGACCGATTTCTAATTTGGCACTTTTAGCACCGAATTGGATTGCTCTTTTCATTTCATCTTTGACCCATGAAAGCCCCATGAATTCTGCCAATTCTCTAAGAATCCATTTTCTCACATAAGTTTTTACTTGTTTACCAACTTTATCTTTCTTTGTGGTTTTCAACTGCCATTCGTATTTTAACTTAAGATTGGGTTCGATGTCGTTTATAACATGGTTGATAACCTTGTTGTCTAAGTATGGATATCTTAATTCTTTACCCCAAGATGATATAGCTCGATCATCGCGACCTAAATTACGGTTATAAATGACTTGAATATCATAAATTAACGATTCTGATAATTCTTGGTACTTTTTCAGTAAAATGCTATCAGAAGCGTCAATATTAATATCGTTAAATATCGATTCATGTCTTGAATATCCCGCAAATAATTCATCTGCTCCTAACCCAGAAAATAATACTTTTGCATTAGAAGCATAATTCGAATCAAAAGTTGAATAAATTGACTCATCTTCCATATATTCATTAAAATCCAAGTTTTTCGGAATTTCGTCATTCAATTCGATTTTGAAATCATTAGAGCATCTACTGGCTAAACAGAAGGCAATTGCAATTGACAAATCCATTTCTGTATTTGCAGGATATATTAATTTTTCAACTCTTTTCTTATGAATTAACCATTCCCTATATTCGACATTGATTTCAACCAATCTAATTTTAAACAGTTCATTATTGTATTTCTTCAGGAGATTGAACCATGATTTTTTACTCAATTTACGGTCTGGGGATTCGCTGGCCTTCATATTAGTCCTTGGATTGTCAAATCCGATAGTCATTAAATCAATGTATCCTCTATTGCCATTCTGAATTATATTATCACTTATCATCGCCGCAATAACCGTACAATCTAACCCACCACTGAATAGTATACCTAATTGAGAACCTTGGGTTTCATGCAAAGGATGTATAGTATTTTGACGTTTTAGACATGCATTGTTCAATACTTTATATAAATTTTCAATCTTAGAAGAAACATTGGCAATTGAGGAGTTATAAACCAACGGGTCGAAGCTGATTCTTTGATCAGAACCAAACTCACTCCATATAGATTCATATTCAACGGTATCCAACTTGAAGCTAGTCATGTCTAACTGATATAACTGACTACTTTTGCATTCGATGTAGTTCTGTCTCGAATGGTCAGCTGGAGGTAAAGAACTAATGATTAATCTGGAATCTACCATGGAATATAAAAGTGCTCTTTTGCCTATATAATCTTTCCCAAAGTAAACTTTATTTTCGATTTTATCAGTTAAAACGAATGCAAATTCACCATTTAGCTCGGCGATAGTTTTCAAAACAGCCAGTTTTCGAGTATTACATGCATTCAAATTCTTAGACAATAAATGAATAATAAAATCTGTATCATTAGTATTCAAGCACTCTTCATTGTAGAGTTCACCATTGAACTGTAGTATGAAATCATCAGTTTCAGTGGGTTGTTTATTAAATGGTTGTCTTAATGATAAAATCGAGGAGAATAACTGGATGTTCTTATCATGATGACAAAATTGCTGATATTGAATATAATCAGGTCCCCTACACGCAATTCTTGATATTAAATCATTCCAAAGATTGTAGTCTTGATTCAAAAGCTCGTCATCGTGAATAGGGTGATTGACTATCTGGTCAATTTGGTGTTCAATCTCAAGTTTTTGTTTTAACTTATCATCGTCAAGCTTTTTTTTGATTGTATTATTCAAGCTTATTAGTTTTTCGTTCAATGTCCTAAGTCTTTCTAAGTTATCTAATTTCATTTGGTCACTTTTGGTCAAGATCAAGTCATTGTCAAGTTGAGGTTGAATCAATAAAGATTTGATCTTTTCGGTATCATCTGTCTCGTAGAAACTCACACCATTTTCTTCCGAAATTTCATTTCCAAAAACCGATGGATGGTCAATTTGAGAAGTTTGATCTTGAATGGAGTATAGTATCCCACACATGTCACCGATGTAAAAGGTCAAACTGATCTATTGATCGAAAATTTTCATCGACTTTTTTCTCTTCACTTCAAAGCATTCAAATTTGTGCGATGCTACAATTTTGCAGTAAGATTTAGACTTGGTGTAAAATAAACAAAACGATGGCTTCGAGCTAGAAGAATACCTTCAGATGTGGATAACTTACTTAATACGACTTACAAATAAAAAATTGGGTCATTCATGCATTAATAAAAATTGAATATGCTAAGATTTACCTAATCTGTCTACCATTTTTCTTCAGGATTCTTTTTGAACTCAAGATAATCGTTATAATTGAAGATACTCAACTCGGTTTCATTTTCTATCCCAAAGTCCCACAAGGTTTTCTTTTCGTCATCGACTTTGTTCAGTTCGTCATTACAAAAAACTATCCAATCTTGATCATTATCGAAGTTAATAACCAAGTTCATTGACTTGGTACCATGAGCTTTCGTATAGATCTTGATGGTGTTATATTCGACATTTCTATAAGGTCTTAATCCACCGGTTGTGTTTATTATGTTTAAGATTTGGTCAAACAATTGTTTTGGAGTAGTTTCTTTCAAGTTGATGGATTTTATGAGGGTATTTTTCACATTACGATAAGGAAATGACTTCACGATACGGACAGTAAGCAAAGCGTCGGTTGCTGGTCTGACGTTTGAAGTCAAGGGTTCTTCGGTATTGAATTCAGACATTTCACTTGGTTTGTGAAAAAGTAAAGAGTGGTTTATAAAGGAAGCTGTTCAGAAGTAGTTGATGGAGTGATTTTTTTTTTTTTTTGGCACTGGAAAATTAGCAGAGGTCGTGTATTATACGAATATATTTGCAGCCTACGGAGTCTATAGACGATGATACTGACAGAATTGACAATTGAAGAAGTGAAAACATAAATCATGAACCCATTAAGCGTAAGAAATGAAAAAATTTAGAAGAAAGTAAAAGAATAGTTGAAAAAAGAAGTAAAAAACCGAAAAATTCCCGAATAAAAGATTAAATTTTGAAACCATTTTCTAATTTGTCAATGAATTCAGCTAAGTTATATACTTTATCATAATTACCCATTAGCTTACCACCGACCTTTTTGGACAAGCCATCGAATAAGGAATTTGAGTCGTCACTTTCATCTGAAGGATAGTGGATATTGAAATCACTTTCACTTCTATTTAAAACGAGAGTACGGTTTGGGATTAATTGAATAAATGATTGGAATGAATTTTTATCATTTTGATTTTGAAAGAAGTTTTTCAAAAGAGAATTCAAGTCAATGAAAGATAGGTTATTCAACAGCTTATCTTGGGGTAAGACAGCTTTGAACTGAGAGATTTGAGAATCTTCAAAATTTATCTTTATAGGAGAGCAATCATGACAAGGATTATTCAAGGAATCTAGATGTTTTTGTAATTCTTTTGGACTTTTAGTTAATTCCAAAGTTCTATTGAAAAAATCCAATTTGTGATTAACCGAAATAAGATATTCGAATCTATTAATATAATCACAAATGATTGATTTTTTTTCGTTATTATTACGACACTCAGGTAATTTTTGTGCTAATGAAGTGAGATGAAGATTGAAATCTTGCCAATTATCTAATTGGTCAATCAAGCTTTTCAATTTTAAAGACAACGAAGTTTCTAAATCTTGCAATTTATCCATTTTATTTAATAAGGAAGGTAAGGTTAAAGATTTTGGTGGTTGATAATTTTGAGTGATACCAATTAGATTTAGGTTGACTGATATTGAGCTTAATGATTTTGATAATTCTGGGAAATCATTATAAATGTATTCTGGTTTCAAGATCGTCTTATATTGATCGAATTCAGTTAAGATTGAGATTAAATGATTAAAGTTATTTTCAATATTATTAAAATTATCAGTAGTTGCCGCCACCAACTCTTCATTCGAGTTGAAAGTATTTAAGAAAATATTGATGTTATTTGATAATATTGGCACCAAATCTTGATTATTAATGAATTCCAAAGAGTTAGTAAGTTTTAGTATATTAGAATTCAATTGATTAATGAGTCTGAGAGATTTAGTTTCATAGATATGTTTTAATTTGATAGTGGCGACGATAGTTTGGAAGAACTCGTCAAAGTAGATTGGATTTTGATTATCGATTGATTCTAACTCGGTTTCTTCAATGAGACTTTCTACCTCATCATTTGAATTCATTTCGAAAAACTTAAACCATTCTAAAACGTAGAATATAACACATTTTTCGTCGGGGACCAAGAAATTGAAATCGTCAACGTCTGCCAACGCCGGAATGCCCAAGTTGTCCGTGGCCACGTTCAAGACGTTTGATAAATTTTGATAAGTTTTCCCTGGCAAGACAAAATCATTATAGTTAATCAAGTCCGGCAAATAAAACGATAAGATAGCCGCAAAAGTCAAGTCAGGACGGTTTATTTCCAACGACCAATCTTTATTAAAGTTGGACAATTGGGGTAAGGCCCTTTTATGTATAATATTATTACACCAATTGATCAAGATTGATTTAATTTCAATTAAGGAGTTATTTTGAGATTTTTCAATAAGTGAATTTGAAGTTGAGTAAATGAAAATCGACCAAATTAGCCCTAAGATCAATTTCAAGTTACCATCGATGATATTATCTGCGTCAATATTACAAATATTGATTTTGCAAACGAGTTTAACGAATTGTAAGAAATCGTTCAAGTTTTCGATTTTTTGTAATTTAAAAGTTGGTTTGGAATACATTGGAGTTAAATTATAAGGAACAGCATCGGTTTCGGCATTCACGTGGTTAATAAGCTTAATAAGAACCAATCCATCTGCCAAATCTTTAGTCAAGTCCTTAATAGATAGACCAAGAGTCGAATTTATCCATCTTGTCATGGTTTTGTGTTGGGCATGAACCCAATCTGGTTGAGATACCATTCTCTATAGCAGTAAGACCTAATAATTCAACGGACTCTCAACGTAGTTATCGGCAACAGAATCAATTATATATATAAATAAACCTGGGAACTTCGTAGTCAATTTTGTCACTCTGGATCGGTCTAATATTTTAGACAACGCGCAATATCAATCTCTGGAGTAATGGTACAATAGGAGAAAAGGCTTCAATTTGACATACGCACGAGACGACGCAACTAGCACAGCAGCACAGATAAGCAAAGACGACGGTATATATAGCAATGGCTGTGTGGGAGAAGTAAGAAGTTGGTCTGAAACATATATAAGACTGGAAAAGAAAAAAAAAATCACCAAAAAAAAAAAAAAAAAAAAAAAAAAATGAAAACAGATGGCGTGTTTTTGTGTACAGAGTAAACAGACGAGTCGCAGCGGACACCCGTACCCCCCGCGGTACGGCTATACCCATTATACTTGACTAGTCTTTCAATGGGGTATACAAGAGTATACAGAAGTAAGCGGATACAGAAGTAAGGTATACAGAAGTAAGCGGATACAGAAGTAAGCGGATACAGAAGTAAGCGGATACAAAAGTAAGCGGATACAAGTGGTATTAGTATATTAGAGCTCTATTTAAATTTTGAAGAAAGGGTGATCCATGGCCTCTTTTGCGGTTGGTCTTAATTGGTGATCGTAGGTTAATAATTTATCAATCAAGTCAATGACTTCATTACTGATTAAATGTTGGTTTTCGTTGGTTATGAAGGAGGACCACGGCTTAGGATCATAATCCCCCAAGATGGAGTCGTATTCGTCACTCAAGTTGATCCCGTATTTATTGATATAGTCAAATAATTTTTTGGTACCCAAGACTTTTGCAATTTGGACCAATTGGTCATTATTTGAATCGCCTCTAAAGAACGGTTCTTTTTTGAAGATGATTGCCGCTAACATGCAGCCAACCGACCATAAATCCAAAGAATAATCATATTGCTGTAAGTTAATTAATAATTCCGGACCTTTATGGTATCTTGAAGCAACTCTGACATTATAGTCGACCCCGGCATGGTAGAACTCAGCCAACCCCCAATCGATTAATCTCAATTTTTTATTATGAGGGTCAATCATAATATTTTGTGGTTTAACATCCCGATGGATTATCCCCATGGAATGAGAATAATCTAATGCAATTAATAATTCATTAAAATAATACTGAATATCTTTAATACCGAATTTAGGATACAACACTCTAAAATCAAGATTATTGATTCGTTCAAATATTAATGCTGGAATCTTACTCTGTTCGTCTTTAACAATATCCAATAACCCAATAACGTTGGGTCCTCCGGTCAAGTTTTTCAATATCTTCACTTCTCGGAAAATCTTCTTCATCTTAACCGGCTTCAACACCTTAATCACACATGGCTCTTCATTTATAATGTTAATCCCTTGAAACACTTCACTATACTTCCCTCTACCAATCTTACTAATGATTTCATAATTCTTAATCTCCCCCCATTCAATCTGGTGGTTCTCATAGTCCCAATATTCACTGCTTTTGATCTTATTCACATCTGAATATACCCTGGATACACTATATACCCTAGAACTAACCGACATCATTCTTATCAAGTCTATATTATTACAATGCAACCTAAATTAACCTTTTAAAAGAAAAAAAAAAAAAAAAACCTTACTCTATAATCTATATCCAATGACTTCTTGTCTTCAACAACTTCGCTTCTGCAGCCACTTATCCTTGAAGTATATAGATATCTGAAACAAATACTTGACAGCTCGATTCAAAGAGATGATCGTTTTGTCTGGCTCTGTCTTTTTTTTTTTTTTTTCTTTTGGCTGTCGCTCTCCGTCGGCTCAAGCATTAAGCTTTCTGGTCAAAATCTGAGCACCCCTTGACCGTTTTTTCCTGCTTTTGTTCCCTTTTAATTTCTTTTTTCGTGCGATGAGTAAATTTGGTGTCTGGGTGTTTTGTGCCGGTGGGCGCACGTCCCGTCTTCCCGGTAGCGTCTGGTCGAGTATCTCATAGAGTGTCTGTCCGGGGGGTAGGGGGGGGGTTGTCTGGGAGTAGCTGGCCGGTCGGTATTCAGTTCAGTAAACCTACTTTTTCGCTGCAGCACATATAACGGTGCTGAAGACGCTGCCGGTGCTCGTCTAACTAGAGGTCTAATGTAACAGAAGGCTATCAGTTGCAGGTTGGGGTTTGCAGGTTGGGTTTGCAGGTTGGGTTTGCAGGTTGGATGTTGCAGGTTGGTTTGCAGGTTGGTTTGCAGGTTGGTTTGCAGGTTGGTTTGCAGGTTGGATTTTGAAAAAAAGGTACGGATTTGTAGATTAAGTTAATACTTTGGCTTTATAGTGGTCAGGATGGATATAACGACGGTGGTGCTAGGTGCTCCAGGAGAAGAGATCCGGGACGTGCAGTTGTGGTCGAAGGGACCGGCTCCCAAGGACTTGCAGGACGTGTCGTGGATAAGCTACGTTAATTATCAAATGGTACCGGTGTACCTTATTGGATCAGAAAACATGATGGTATACTCCAATGATGATAAGACCAATGATTTTTTTGGGAAGTTGTTTGGTTATTCGAATGAGGTTGGCATGCTATTCAAGTCCAGGGACGAAGAGTACTTGGTTTTCTACCCTGATGCGAGAATGATGAAAATAAGGTGTTTTATAATAAATTTCAATCAATTATATTCGATTCTTGATGATAAACAAGATGAAGATACTTCGATTTCAAATAACGATGAAATCTTCGATAAGATCCTTCTTGATAAACAGAGGAAGCTACAGTCCAAGTCGCAAGGCTCAACTCCGCCAATTATCCATCCCGACATAAGTGGATTCACTAATAATGACCAAATTCTACAAGCCATAAATAAAGTTATACTAAGTGGACTTAGATTAAGAGGGCTTTCCACTAAAAGTTCAACCATAAGTAAAACGGAACGAATCAATATTAAAGAAATCATCAAAATGACCCAGGATTCAACGCTATTTGCTCTAAGAAAATATAAATACTCTTTTCACGAAAAAGATTTACTTCACCATCCAATAAAACTAAACGATATTCAATTAATTGTCGAAAACTTGTTACAAGTGTACATCGATATCGAGGAATAATATACTTATTTACAAGTGTACATCGATATCGAGGAATAATATACTTATTTACAAGTGTACATCGATATCGAGGAATAATATATTTATTTACAAGTTCTTATATACATTATTAAAGATCAGACATGTTAATTACCTTGGTTTGATGATAATCATTAAATTTCTTGGTTGATGCTTGTTCTAATTGTAAATCTAATGATGATTTTGGCACTTCTCTCTTGACTTGGTAGTTTTCTAATCTATCCAATAAAATCGATCTATCTTCTAATAAGTAACCCTTTTTCAATGGGTTCGAATAATATTTGATATCTCTTTTATGGGTTGGACGGGCTTGTAATGGTAAATATCCCTTCTTTAAATAAAATCTATTAGGATTTATATGTGCTGTCAATCCTAACTTACTATGATAAACAGAAGTATACTTGAATCCATTCTTATTTATGGTTCTAATAGCTGGTATACTGGCTTTACTGGCTTCAATATTTAATGGGACTTTAAAATTTTCTTTACCATTACTTAAAATTTTAACCCCATCCTTTATAGTACCACTAACTATTCCATACCTCTTCATCTTTCCAATACTTAAAGTATCTCCTTCTTTCAATGGAATTCTTCCATTATTCCAAAAATCTTGTATTTTCTCCAATTTGATCTCATTATAAACTCGGGCATGTGGTCTTTTGAATCCAATGATTGGTAACTTCTTCCACATTGGTGTTTGACCCCCTTCGAATAACCTGGGGACCGATCCTCGGGCTTTTTGACCCTTTTGACCTCTTCCTGATTTCCCCCCTTTACTGGCTGGACCTCTACCAAGTCTCTTATAACTTTTGACTGCCCCTTCCATTGGTTTCAAGTGCCCCAAGGAAAGCTGACGTATCGAGTTGAAAATGTTCATTGGCCCCATTCTCATGCGCCCTAGTTGAGGTATATTCAACATTTCTATTGACTTATTTATTGGATTTCAAATAGCTAACAACCTCTGGAGATTTCGATATTTTGAAAAAAAAAATTATTCAGTGAGCAAAAATTTTATTGAGTCGTGCGAGTGCAAGTCGGTTTACCTCCGTACAATTTTGGCGTTTGCTGAATTGTTGCAAATTAAACATAACCTTTGAATACCATGCTTTTCGGACTTTCTTTTTATTCCAGTTGGCCAGGAAGACTGCAGGGGGTACATTAGTTGGTGAATGAGCCTATACATTCAGAGTTGTATCGAAGGGTCGCGAAATCCTAGTGTAAAATGGTGCTTGAAAATTTTCTGCCTATTAAAACAGTGGGTATCATTAGATATCAAAAATGAAAAAATTAAAAAGAAAGTCTACAGCACGATGGTTTCCATTATGGTCTCCCACTAACGTACTCAGCATCGCTCTCAGCAGCTTAATAATTATTGATCGGACGGGTAATCATGCTTTATGCTGGATATGGCCGTAGACATTCGTTGTAAAATCCCGGTTTACTATACGAGCGAGTTTTCAAAGGAGTAAAACTTTCTTTTTTGGTATTTACGGCCTTTAAATGACAAAATAAAGACTTCGGTATCACTTCAGTTGATTATTGGAGGTATATAGTTCATTCTTTTTCTATAAATTTGGTTTTGGAAATTCCTACATCCATTCTTCAGTAGAAGTTTCACCGGAAAATCGGAAAGTCGAATACAGTTTCAACGCCATTTGAATTATATGAACACCTGCATTAGTAAGACTGCGATTTCCATAACCAAAACCAATTGGTTTAGTATTAGTACATCTAGGACAGCGATAGTCCGGTTTGCATTGGATTTTGAATAACTTTTCTTTGCAGCATTTAAAGGCAAACAAAAATTAGACAAGTCTTCTTTTAAATAATTCATTTTTCTATTTTGGCATAGTCATTCGTGTCATTCCACTTATAGTATGTTGAATATTTCTGGACAAGCTTGATCGGTTTTCCTCTGGTGAAATTGTAAGCTCATACCAAGTAATATTTCGCTTCGTTATATAATGCAGCCAGAATACGCAACTGTCTGGCAGTCTGGTTTCAATGTTCTTCGACTAAATTATTATAGTAAAATCCAGACCAATTTGAAACCTTGTTTCATTGTGCTTTTCATAATTTACTCCTTGTACCTTTCAATTTGGAAAAAAATATTTCTTTCCATGGTTATGCTTCTGCTTTAACCCCCATAATAACCCGATAATACGATCTGCATTTCTTTGCTGAAAAAACTACATTATAAATTCTTTAAGACTCTAAATCATTCAAATACGTAAACTGTCAGACCTTGAAGGTCTGCAGATGATGTACTGGCCTATCTATANTGATAGGTACAATACATCATCAAATGAAGACATAAATTATATTTAAAGTTTGTGTCAATCCATAAATGAGGCATTCTGATAATGTGCATATATAAATAAATAGGCATTTCCATGTTAAATGG